CCTTGGTACCTGCGACACCCTTGATCACCCTTAAACACCTTGGTACCTGCGACACCCTTGATCACCCTTAAACACCTTGGTACCTGCGACACCCTTGATCACCCTTAAACACCTTGGTACCTGCGACACCCTTGATCACCCTTAAACACCTTGGTACCTGCGACACCCTTGATCACCCTTGAACACCTTGGTACCTGCGACACCCTTGATCACCCTTAAACACCTTGGTACCTGCGACACCCTTGATCACCCTTGAACACCTTGGTACCTGCAACACCCTTGAACACCTTGATACCTGCAACACCCTTGAAGGTACTAGTGGCACATCTGACTGGACATATTACAGAGTAGAATTGTATCTGCCTGTTGTCTCCGTGAGGTAAGTTATGGAAGAAAACTATGGGACTAGACTCAGTTTAGTAGAGGAACATACAGGGAGCTATCTATCTTCTCCAGCATCTTCTCTAGATAGTAACATCTCAAACTTCTTTGCCCCTCCACGCTAAGCACTATGTATCTTGCCCGCGCAAACTTGGCTCGACTTTACTTAGCGCCCCCTGTAGGCGGTTTCTGTACGAGTCGTAGCGCTTCCGCACTTGCTGTTCGTAGTCAGCTTCTTCCTTGGAGAGGATTCGCAGGAAGTTTTCCAACTCCGGTATGCTGAACACTTCCCACTGGCAAAGGATACGTGAATACGAATGTAAATTTTGAATGAGGTTACATTCGGCGGATAAAGTTGACAATGGGACGTGTTGCTGGATGCTCTAACATATACCAACTGTGTCCGTGAAAAGGTGAGAGTGGATTGGGGTGGGGAAAATAACCTCTGAAGTTTTGGGTGATATGTACCACAGCTGGGTAGTGGCTGGTAGGTTTTTTTTAAAGTGAGCATTAAAATGGGGTCTTCTCATGAGATTTGAGCAATAAAAAATGGAGTTCTTTAGTAAAACTTATCATAGCAATGATATCTCATTGACCATTTTAGAAGTAGGAGGTTTAACCACTGGTTATACTGAATTAATAAATTACACAATTACTGCATGGTAATATAGGAGCTTGTGCTGCCATCTGCAGTCGTTAAAGCACATATACTTACTGCTATTTCGCCAGTCTCATTCTCTTGCATCACCAGACTCCTGGCATTTGCTCGACCCCACTGCAAACACAGCCATAGAGGGTGCTCTTCTGTTGATATCCGTCTAATCACAACTACAGAGGGAGAGAGGAGAATTACTATCGATAGATCGACGAAGAGAGAGTAGAGAGAGCGAGAGCGAGAGAGACCGCGGGAGGGATGGATACCAAGAGAGAAGAGAGGCAAGAGGGAGGAAAGAGAGAGACAGGAGAGAGAGAGAGGAGAGAGAGACTCGCGAGAGCGAAGCGAAGAGAGAGACGATGAGAAGAGAGACGAAGAGAGATGAGCCGCGAGAGACGAGAGAGAGAGAAGAGAGCAGCCCGAGAGAGAGAGAGAGACGAGTAGAGAGAGAGAGAGAGAGATCGAGAGAGACGAGAGAGAGAAAGAGAGAGAGAGAGACACACGCAGAAGAGCGAGAGACAGAGAGAGCGAGAGAGAGGAGGAGGAGAGAGAAGAGAGAGAGAGAGCGAGAGAGAGCAAGGGAGAAAGAAGAGTAGAGAGAGTGGTGTGTTGTGTGTAGAGAGTAGGGAGAGAGAGACGAGAGGAAGAGAAGAAAGACAGAGAAAGTGAGAGAGAGAGAGAGAGAGAAGAGAAGAAGAGAGAAAGAGAGACGAGAGAGAGAAAAGGCGGGTCTCGAGAGTCACAGAGAGGAGAGGCGTGAGCGGGAAGAGCGAGAGAAGTAATTTAATTAGAAGGAATATGTCATCCGTGCCCGTGTGTGTGTCGTTTGTGCCGTACGTGCAGTCTTGTCGCGCCGTGATGTTAACTGCGCATGATGTGTGCACATCTTCGTCTGCATTATTCCCTCCCCTCCGCCTTCTCTCCTTTTCTCACCTTTCCTTCCTCTCTCCCCTCTAACTCCCTTCCCTCTCTGATATTCTCCCGTCCTCCCTCGTCGCGCGATAGTATGCGCCCACGCTATCAGTTTTGCACGTATAAAAAGTTTGCCGAGGACAATATGGCCGGTTTTCAGCTCAACATTCTTCAACACTGCCCCAAAGCACGAGAAATACTGGATTATGCGGCTATAATACCTTTTATAGTCCCACAAGCACACATACAGGACACACCGACGGGCGCACCATCACGCGAGTATGTGCACGTCCACGCGTGCGTCGGATTATATGAGTATATACATTTTGTCCTCGGGAAGTGAAAACGTTTCGGGTGAAACTACGGCCATATTACTGAAAAAGTTTTTCCATCTTGTCACTGATCGTGGCGACTATCCATCCTCGACGAAGGGGCAACGGGAAATTAACGTGCACTTATCTTTGATTCACTGTTATTGCTGTTACTCATAACAGCAGATGAAGTCGAGACTACAGATAGCCGCAGAATACTGTTTATTATGATTATTATTCATTAAAATCCTTTATTTTTCAATGTATGATGATACTACCAAATTACATGTACTTGAAAGATCATTTTTCATGGACGAAAAAATACGATAGAATCATAGTGTTGACATGTTAACAATAATAAAATGACAAGACGTGCGAATGACATATGAAACAACTATTGTGTACTCGGTAATCGCCGGCCTATAGCGGTCTGTTAATGTCTGCTGTCCCGGCCACCTCGTCGTAAAACAACCCTATTTT